TTATATATATATATATGTGTGTGTGTGTGTGTGTATGTATGTGTGTGACAATGTATGCTGTATGTATTCATCTATGTATGTAAATATGCATGTATGTATGTATACTATATATTTTTATATTATATATATATATATATATATGTGTGTGTGTGTGTGTGTGTGTGTGTGTGTGTGTGTGTGTGTGTGTGTGCGTGCGTGTGTGTGTGTGTGTGTGTGTCTGTATTAGATTGAACACGGCAACGAAAAAGTTGCAGCCCTATCCTTCAGCCACCTCGAACATGAGAAAGGCACACGCAATGTATAGCCATGCCTGTATACGTTCACATGATCACAAACACAAACGCATACATATAAACATAGTAACAGAAACGCATACAAATAAACACAGTAACAGAAACACATACATATAAACATAGTAACAGAATAATGCTTGGATAGAGACTATGTATATCTACGTACCAGATTCCTCGATGGCAATGATACCATCGACGGCACTAGAGAACACGGCATCGATGAAGTTGCGGCCCTCCCCCTCAGCCACTTGGCGGAAGTCTGTGATCAGCACTGAGTAGTGTGGCACTGTGGTGATCTGATCTCGACTGACTATGCGATTGACACTCAGGCATACGGGCTTGATGCCCCCTCCTGAGTGATGAGTGATGGCAGAGTAGGCGTATGGATACGAGGATGTATATATTTGTTAGCAAATATACCCCCCTCCACAGTGATGAGTGATGGCAGAGTAGGTGTATGGATACGAGGATGTATATATTTGTTAGCAAATATACCCCCTCCATAGTGATGAGTGATGTCAGAGTAGGTGTATGGATACGAGGGTGTATATATATGTTAGTAAACACACCCCTGCCGGAGTGATGAGTGATGGCAGGGTAGGCACATATGTGCCAATACACAACGCAACAACAATATAAACGATATAAGTGTTCAATTCAAGCACAGTATATGCGTATACCGATACACTGCTCACATGCGTATACCTGACAGAGCACCATACCTTCATTCACTACTACGTACTGAGTACACGGGCACGGAAAACTTGCAAGAGCGGAAGAAAAAACATTTAACCACCTTTCAGCTGCAGACGTGCAGGGGTTTGTGGTGGCCAGTTCTCTAGACTATACTGAGGGCAGGCACTCAAATCCAAGACAGTCGAAACCTTCATCTCCAAGACCTCCTGCTTCTTATACCCCGTTAGGCTAGAGAATGCCTGGTTCGATTTCACAATCGATTTCTGTGGTGTCGGAAGGGACAAGTGAAGATAGTAAGCCAAGTGTGTCTGGGTCGGTAAGCGACTATCTGCATCCGTATGCCGTCTGTGAGTTTAGATCATCAGGTTCAGCTTAGTATAGGCACGATGGCCATTTGAGAGTGTGACAATGGCATCCCTATAATGGCATCCCTAAATTTGACAAATGCTAGTGATTGAAGATCACATCTGAACAGATATACAGTAACTAGTATGGCGTATGGAGCGTACATCGACCGACGTTTATGCGGATACTGCTGTGTACGATACAGAACAAAGTTACTTGAATACTATATGTAGTATAGACATACGAGTACATGTGTGGATTCAGTAAGGTGTTGCACCAAGGATCTGAAAATGAATCAACTATGTATATATATATATATACACACACGCTTATATATATATATATGTATATATATATTTAGAAATTTATATATATATAAATATATATATATATGTACACACATACATACAAACATACATATTACATAAATACATACATACATACATACATACATATATATATATATATATGTGTGTGTGTGTGTGTGTGTGTGTGTGTGTGT